AGGAGGTGCACCTGTCCTGGACATCAGCCGTGCGGCCCATGGAAACATCAGATATAAGTTGAGTTGGCGTCACAGTGATTACAGCTGGTCCAGTTATTTTATTCTAGTGTAGTCTCTTTGAGTAAGCTGATTTTCTCTCTGGCACCAAACTTTGTTGGCCATCTAATCTAAAGTCACTTTTCACGACAGGGGTGTTTTAGAACCTATGGTAGTTTTCTGATGCCATAATTTACCCCACTGTAAATTTTCTAAAATTTGTACCAAAGATATTGATAATCTTTCATAAAAAAAATAATTAAATATTGTATAGTCCTCCCAGTATTACTTTGGTCTTTGACCAAAGAATGCTGTGACGACTGACTATATTTTCCCGAGGGCTGGGGGTGGTGGTGGGGATGGGGACACCCACATTGTGGAAGGGTTTAGCGGAGCCGTTCCGCTCAAGCTGTGGAGTCAGCAAACCCTTTGCCGTGGGTCAAACGTGCAAACCCTTGTGCCGTGGGTCAAACGGTGCACTCTTCGGGACACGCTTGACCTCAAGCGTCAATGAGGCGGGCTGTACGGGGCCCTATCACGTTACCGTACTATGCGTGAAATTGCTGTGACGCAATTTGCTGAGCATTGATCGCACCCGGGCGCGGGCATACAGCGAAGAAGCAGCGTCCTGGCTTATGTGTGACGAACCCTCCCTCCCCCTGCCCCCGCGGCTGCGGTTGCTGTGGAGGTAGTGGCGGGCTGCCCCGCTACCGTCGTGACGTGACGGGTGTCTTGGGTGCTGCTGCGGTGGTTGTGGGGTGGTAGCAGCGGCATCCTGCAGTAAGTCTACTACTGCCTCCACAGCTAACAAGAGCTGCATCCGAGACGCCCGTGACGTCACTGCTGTAGTGGTGGCAGTCTGCTACTACATCCACAGTTACCGCAGCGTAGAATCAGGTCTATGAAATAATGTAAAATGTTGGATAGTAATTGAATTCTTTATTGTATCAATTCATTTACATTCTGAGAGTGCATCTTGCTCAATTAGCTGGCTTGTTTCTGCTGGTGACTTTGGGTGACTTTCTTGACCTGAAAAAGAATGGAAAAAATCTAAGTTAAATTCAAATTATCTCAGAGTTCAACTCAAACATGTTCTGGTCCACATGTATCACTGTGACGCCAACTCATCGGATAAACTTTCTATGTTACAGGTGGCCAGCATCAAGTCCAGGCACATCTCTTTGGAGAAGAACCACCACCACTTCCTATTTTACTAAGGCTGTACCATACAAATGAAATAAATAGCAGCATTACTGTAACTGACACTCTGATGATTTGCCTCTTTTACTTCCTTCGACTAAAATCAATACACGACTACATATCTTAGGATCAAGTATTAAGCCATATATAAGGCGGTAGCATAGATACAGTAAATATATGACAAATAACCACCCAATAGAAACAAATACCACAAAAAAAATAATTCCTAGCATGACTCTACAATGTATTGATATTTTTTTGTTAACATTACATAAAAAGTCAAAACTTACCAGAATCATTCCTGTGATGAGAAAAAGGGGCCATTTCTCATGCTGTGTGCTGTGACACCAACTCAGCATACATCGATTGACAGGCAACGGCTGCTTAGCTGCACAGATGTAACTATTGGACGGTCTTCCTGCAACGGGGTAAAAACAGAATTTTGGTCTACAGCATGGTGACACCAACTCCTATCTGGACCTCACAGTTTCAGGTGGCTGCATAACATTAACGTACCATGCTTCAAAAGCAATGCCCAGGACAATGTCAACTCAAAATCAAATGTTCACAGGTGGAATATCATAAATATTTATGCACTTTTAACTCTGTTTCCATATTATTTACTTTACATTTTTATCATACATCACAGGACTAAAGAGAAAAAGTGCATTCAGTTGGCATGAATGAAAAAAGTGCAAAATCAAAGAAGAGATAAGAGAAAAATGTGAACCTAAACACATTATAATAAATATTTGTAAGGTTTCTTGAAAATAAATCAAGTAGAACTTAGCACGATTGTGAGCCCTTGTTTCTTCCAGTCCTGCTTCATATGGTGTCCTCTATATCTCTGCACAATATTCAGTGCAGCAGAAAAGTTAAAGACATTGTGGATACGCTTCAAAATTTACTGCTAACTCATTAAACATTTACCAAAAATTAGAACCCTACCTGAAAAACACAATTTTTTGGGGGACTGCTACAGGTTAAAATCAGAAGTCAAAAATATGACGTGGTGTTTGAATGAAAGTATACTTTCGTTTTAAGATCTGAGTACTGTTGGCTGTGTAGTGCACAATCCTGCATTTCATCCAACTGAAATATAAATAAGCTAAACTAACCAAATCCCTCCCCAAAATCCTCTCAGTTCAGAAAAGATCCTTTTCTGATTCTAATTTGATTGCAAGTTCTTCTCATCAATGTGTTATAAATGTACTACCTCCTCAACATTGAAAATGGGCTAGAGAGTAGGCCTGGCCTGAGCTATTTAAGAAAAGTAATTGAATTAGTATATTATTACTCAAAATCAGAACTAGTAGAAATTTCCAAGGAGCTTAATAGTAAAGATTGGTTTAATGCTCAATGATTTAAACACTAATATTTAAGTCTAAGACTTGATGAAAATAAATATTGTCAAACTAAGCATAATTGTAACCCCTCTCCATATGAAATTGTACTCACCATGTAAAACGATCTAAGCATTGTAGTGTGACTATGAAAGTTTGCCCTCAGACCGGAGAGATCATCCTCATCAATCTCGGAAGGAAAAATATACATCTACATCCAAATTCAATTTGTCCTTTAAAATATGGAGTCCCATTCCTAACCCATCTTGTAAGACCAGAGGACTCATGCTTTTCTTCTTAAGATGGGAATCACCTAAGAGGAATAGAAATGCAGATCTTCACCCATTTATATGACAAAGTGCATCTAAGACTTCAATAATCTTAGTTTGGCATACATCAAAAAAGTTTCAAAATTAAATCTTACCTTTTACACTTGCATTGTGGATATTGCAGAACATTAGATACAGCACCTTAGCTATTATCAGCCATTCTTACATTATGTTGGAAGTTTGGTCGCAGAACTGTAAGTATTAGACAAAGTGAATCATTTAGAGAGAATAAAATAACTCCAGTCTCAGCTCATACTGTACAATTTCATAGCTCACCTCATCCAGTACTCTTACCGCAGGGTGAATGCTGAAAAGACCATCTCAAGGAAAGCAATAGTGCCCATTGCTGAACCCTGCAATCTAGTCCACAGCCTTTTGTGAAAATGATGATTACCCTTGGTGTCAACTGATAGGTTCATGTGTCTTAAAATTAAAAGTGAGTTTCCAGCCAGCAAGCACTTGTAGGAAACAGTACTGTACTTGAGTTTCACTTGCCTTGACCTTGATTTTTGATTGCCTCTGCATTGGCAGTAAGTATTGCCTACTCCTTTTCTTTGCTGTGATGAAGGCTTTCAGCCAGACTCTTTTCTCGTCTTTTCACTGTTACTTTTAAAAAAATAAAAAATATGTATACA